CGGCATCCCCTATCACGTTTACCGTGGATTTCTGCAACATCAGGGGACTCCACTCGAACTTGGAGGCCGTCCATCACCATCTCGAGACGGCCAAGCCGGCCTTGCTTTTCCTCACGGAGACGCAGATACCCTCTCCGGCAGACACTTCGTACCTATCCTGTCCCGGATACAAATTGGAGCATTCCTTTTTGCCTCGGGCCGGGGTATGTGTGTACGTCAGAGAGGATATCTGTTCTCGTCGCCTCAGCCTTCTTGAAGGTAGGGACCTATCTATTTTGTGGCTGCGCATAGATAGCGATGACCATCCGCGAGTCTATGCGTGCCTCTATAGGTCCCATAGCGGTAATGCCGAAATAGACCGACTCATGGAGCAAGTCCAAACGGCTACAGATTCCGTTCTGGCACAGATCCCCTCCGCTGAAATTGTGGTACTCGGCGACTTCAACGCCCACCATGCCGAATGGCTCGGTTCCCGTACCACCGATCACGCGGGGAGATCTGTCCACGACTTTGCCTTGTCATATGATCTGACGCAGCTGGTTTCCTCGCCGACGCGAATCCCAGATGTGGACGATCATACACCTTCCCTGTTGGACCTTCTGCTGACCTCACATCCGGACAGTTATTTGGTTTCTGTCGATGCCCCCTTGGGATCGTCGGACCACTGCCTGATCCGGACGAGAGTGCCTATCTCGCGTCGCCCACGGGTCAAACCTAATGGCCACCGTCGAGTATGGCACTACAGGTCAGCAGACTGGGATGGGATGCGGTCTTTCTTTGCATCCTACCCATGGGAGCGAGTATGCTTCAAGCTGGACGATCCCGATGCCGTTGCCGTTTCCGTCTCCGATGTGGTGCTTCAGGGAATGGAACTTTTTATTCCTTCATCTGTTGTGCCCATTGGAGGCAATACTCGGCCCTGGTTTGGTCAATCCTGCAAATTAGCCGCACGCTACAAGCAGGATTGTTATCGAGCCTGGGCTGAGGCGTCAGCGGCTAGGGATGTAAATACCAGCCTACTCAAAAAGAAGTACAACTTCGCCTCCAGGTCCTTCAAAAGAGTTATTGCCAAGGCAAAGTCGGAACACGTGGCCAGCATTGGGGAGAGGCTGGTGCGCCTTCCTTCGGGAACTCGTGCGTTCTGGTCTCTCGCCAAGGCTGTCCAGGGGAATTTTTGTAAGCCGTCCTTACCATCTCTGCGCAGGGGGGATGACACGGTGGCCCACACCGCAAAAGAGAAGGCCGACCTTCTTGGCTCTCTTTTCGCGTCCAACTCGACTCTGGAGGACAAAGGTTGCTCGCCGCCGAAAATACTGTGCGGTGACACCTTTATGCCGGAAATCCAGTTTCGTCAGAGATTAGTGCGTAAAGTACTTCAATCTCTGGACGTTAATAAGTCGAGTGGGCCCGATGGAATCCCTCCCATTGTGCTTAGGACTTG